AGCGTACAATTTTGTCTGTGGGCGCAGTGGAGAGAGAGAGAGAGAGCTGGAATGAGAAAGAAGCAGCCGGTGTTCGACTTGAAAAGTTCATTAGAAAATTGAACTAGCCGCTTGCTGCACTTTGCGTTTGGTGCGAAAGAAATCGCGGCCCGCGGCACTCCTAATTGCGGTCCTGTTTGTTTACATGACGGCTATTGTGGCTGTGAAAGTGAATCTAGATCTAGATCTAGATCTAGATCTAGATAATCTATCTCTAGATATCTAGATCTACACATATTTAGATATCTAGATTTTAGATCTAGATTAGATAGCCTAGGCTATATTTTAAATTCAGTTTACCTCTCTAAATAAGAAACACACTACAGGGGCACTAAGTGCAAACGGGACCGCAATTGTACAGGAGAGTGCCTTCCTCCTTGATCCGATACTGCTCTACATCGATGTACAATTTTAAAGTGAAAGAAATCTTTTTATGAGACACCAGCTGGCAAAAAAACACTGGGATTTTAGTCACCAACAAGTCCAAACTGTCAAATTGACTCGAATGCTTGTTAGTCAACTTAGTGCCTTTATGGTTTTTTGTTGTTGTTTTTTAAAATACATTTTAATTCAGTTGGCTATGGTTAACAATATGACAGTTTTCCCTTCCAAAACCGTAGGCTAGATTTTCCAGTATATATTCTGGATCTCACTGGTTTTACTCGGCCTTTGGAGAGCGCGCGCGTACACCTTCGCGTGAATTTTCTCCTTTTTTAAAATTCCTGGGTGGCAGCTATGGAATAGAGAAGAACTTCGCGGGTTGCCATTTTGTTTTGCCTGGAAGTTCTCGCGCTACTCCTCTCTCTCTCTCTCTCTCTCTCTCTCTCTCTCTCTCTCTCTCTCTCTCTCCACTGCACACAGACAAAGTTGCAACGCTTGTAGGCTAACAGTAGAAACAAAAGAGCGCTGGAACATTTGTTCATGGCACAGAATTTTACAATTTTGTTATCACAGTGTAGAATTCTGTGGTTCAGGGTGAACGTTACACTGGTTGGCCTAGGCTATAACGGTGAACGCACACCGGGTGAGAATAGCCAAAAGGCTCGCCAGCGCTATTCTCACTCGGGGTGAGAATAAAGGTGGCCGTACAGAGTTTTTGCCAATCTCGAACAGTCTTGTTTTCTCGCTGTACCTTTTGAAAGCATTTTCAAATGAAGTATAGTCCGGGAACATTGCCCCAACCACAATTGATGTATCTGAATATTCAGACATTAAAAAATCTCTACCTCTAGAAATTGGATTCGATGCAAAAATTGCTTCTTCCTTGTCCTCGCAGAATGGCAGAATGAAAGATGACGCCTAATTCCCGCCAGAGACTCTCTGATCTTTCAAATAACCAAAAAATCTCGAGAACGGAAACCGTTCGGAGAAATAGAGGTCAAGTTTATTTTCCCGGACGTTCGAAGAAATAGTCACTTCGTTGTTTAAATATATTTTGTTAACTCTTTAACCATTCAATTTAATATCACATTTCCGCATAATTCTCGTGTGTTTGTGGAAATGCGACGCGACATATTACATTTTTAAAACAACTTGTTTCATGTCAAACTGATCAATAAAGCATTACCCAGACGTAGAATTCATTTATCTTTGACTTCCGGGTCAAACTAAAGGCTTGTTAGCTCATACTTTTTTATATCGGCCCGTACCATAATGTACAATAATAACTTCGCATCGGATGGTGTTACCGTCCAGCCATGGTTACGGACCTTGACTACCAGACGCTGCCACCGTCCAGACATAGGTAAAGAGTTAATCACCATCATCGTAATGATCCTAAACCTGTTCTTACCTAAATGATGTTAATATCAGGCTGATTATTACAATCTGACAACAAAATGATAAAGAGTCGTTCCTCCGGTCGAGTCGTTCTTGGACTGCTGATCCTGTGATGAAAATGGGGAACAGAATTTAGCAGCAGTGCTTCTCCGCAAGTATTCCTACCCTACACAGTGTCATTGCTTCGAGTTCAGAATATAGATTTGTCAAGTTCCAAAGTTAACAAAGATGGCAGTTTAAAAAAAAATTTAAGCCGTTCTCCCCCTCCCTGTCCATTCAAGTAGGCTACATTTAATTGATTTACTGAGATCATCTCAGTTGTCCCTAGATTGACAGTGATTCCCCTAATGGCAACAAAACTTGTAAGAACAGATGGGAAAAAATTTATTGCAAATATATTAGTTTATCTTCTAAATTCTAAATACAGTAGAGTCCACGAATCTCGAACACGAAAATCACAAATTCATGGGTATCTTGAACATTATGCTCCATCCCGTTTCAGTCCCTATGTTTTCTTTGTATTGACTTCACAGAGTTCCTGAACACACAACACTTGAATCTCGAACAAATCCACTTCGCATTCTCAATTAAAGACCCGGCTTTACTGCCTTTCTGGCCTCGGGTAGGCATTTCTTTGTTATTGTTACAGCCAAAAGGTGGTCCTTGTCTCACCTCTCGTGGTGAAAGGACCACATTTTGGCTGGAAGAAGGGGGGACGTGAAAGGGAGGGTTGGAGAGTGATGCTGACCGCACCGCATGACTGGCTCGCCTCGCATGCTATCATGCTGTGGGACGCACATGGTGCAGATGGCAAGAGGCGTAACTTTCTGTAAGTCAATGAAATGAGAGGAAAGAAATGACGTGCACTCGTGAGATTTTCTGCTTTCCACTTTCATTCATCTTCTTACTTTCACGCTATCAACACGTTCATCAAGTGAGCTAAACACACTTCAGTGGGTGTCACATTCAACGAGGTCACATTCAGCGAGAAGTCGGCTCCAACGAGGCAATCCTTAATCCCCAATTTTTACCTCTATATCTCTTTGTAAATGTATGTCAGCTCCAACGAGGTTGCAAACAGACCGAAGTCGCTTTCAACGAGGTCGCGATATGCAAATAAAAGCAATTAGGGGCCCCAAAAATGAAGAATTTTTCTCCTTTCTCTCCATCTCAGGCAAAGCACAAGGCCCATCCTCGATTCCTAACACATTGTATTGCTAGATCTAGTGTGCCTCCTAATATTATGGGCTTCAAAGCCAAGAGGATGGGCGAGGGTTAGCCTACGGTAGGGATGGGAGGGGATGGGTGGGAACGTGATACAGGCTGTGTGAAACTGGATGAACTCTGGATGGGTAGGTCTAGATCGAGACCTTCATTAAAAAATATTTTTTTTTTCTTCCCCTGATCAGAAAAGTCCAAGCTTCCGCCTTTACTCTATGTAGATCTAGGCCTAGAGAAGTGTTCTGGAAATGTTCTTTTTTACGTCCCTTGATTTTCTATCTCTATTTCTTTGTATTTGAATTTGGGGCTTTCACAGACATGACGTATTACGGAAATCTCGAACACTATTTCCAATCCCCGCTGAATTCGAGTTACCCGTGTTTGACTGTATACTATTTTTTTTCCCCCAAACAAATTAGAAGGCTAGCGGCTTTGTGTTTTCTCCAAAGTTGGAACATGACAACCTTCCTACTTTGTGAACTGAGTATTACTTTTGTAGGATCAATCTATACGTCTCATCAAACTCTACACCTTACAGCCGAGCCTATGGATGAGCTGATGTTGTTAGGAAAGTGAAAGAAAGATCAACGCATCAGAAGTTTAACTGAACCAACATCGGGAAAACAAAATCTTTTCCCCTACTCATTTTAATTTTTATACTGTGGTAAAAATGGCAGCGGTAGGAAAGGTTACTCAATACTGGACAATATTCACTTTATTAAAATTACCGCATCCTCATATGTGTGTGTGAGGGAGAGAGAGAAGGGAGTGGTTGCAAGCGTCCACTGGCAGCCAAACTAACAACAGTGTTTACTAACATGATATATCTCTTCAAAAAACCCACCCTCTCACTGCAGCTGGTTGCGTTGTATTTCTGAGTTCGGTAAAACTATTACTTTTTGCCATGTTCTTTATTCTCTCAATGTACGTCAGTTATAAACAAACTCTAGATTTCAAAAAATCACTTGAGAAGTGAACGTTATTATGTAAAAGAACTTTATGTGCGTACATTTTAGACGTAGCTTTTAAAGTATAAAAATTCTAATTGGGGCTTTGCTCTTCAGAAAATGAACGTAGTTCCAGTCGAGAGTGCATCTTCAGCCGAGTATGTTATACTGAGGTTTTACCGTACTACTCATTGTCTTTCAGTGCACCATATGCTGTGGCCTTGAGAGAAAAAGAAGCAACAATGGACTTTTTTTATTGTGTTGTGACGTTACATACACTCATTCTCCCACTTTCCCCGCTGTTTCAATGAGGAGCTATGTTGGCCTATCATTTATGGGAGATGATGGGCTCTACAATTGTATTTTAATGTTAAGTATCACTAGCGGTCCAAACTGCTGTGAAACATCTGATGATACAAATTACAAATTGAATGCAGCTGAGGGTAAAAAAGCACTTCAACTTCAACTCAAGCATATATTTTACAACTTAACCGTTTGACTTAAACAAATGTAAAAGAGGTACTAGGACCTGAGAAGAAGATCAACTTAACCGGAGATCAACTCTAGTGACTTCCTACACAAGTGGAGTCGATTTTACTAGATTTTCATTTTTTCTCTCAAAATTTTGACATACTATGTTACAACAATGTTGATTAACGGGGATGAGTTGTTTGGGTGTGTATCATTCAGAAGGAGAATTACTTGGTTAGCAAAACTTCGTTCTGATCTTATTCTTCCGAGAGATTTAAACAAAAAAACTTTTGTTTTTAGACATCCTTAACTCACACCAAGGTTATTACACTATCTGATCTGGAGTGTGACTATCTCAATGCAAGGGCCTGCTGTGACAAGCTGAATTATGTAAGTAAATATTCAATGTTTTAGTAGTTGCAACTCACACTTTATTTTGCTGAACTCTTCTCTTGTGGTTTCACATTTCTTGCAACGATGCTAATTTATGTTTGCAATTGTAAGGGCATCATATACTTTTTGAGAGACATAATATATATATTGATAAATTGAAACAGGTGGATGAATTCATTATTACATTTTTATCTTGATATGACATGATATCATATAGTGTTTCTTTTTTTAAAAAAAATTTTGCTCTATGGTCTTTGTCTTTGCTGTTTTTTAAATTTTCATATCTGAAGTCTTCATTATATGAGGGTATTAAGTGTGGCTTAACAGCTTTCATATGATTTATATTTCGTGGTGTCACACAGACCATGGGAATATTTTCCACTTCTGTGCTTGATTTTTCTTTTTTCGCAGTGGGTGGTCATGGAGCTGATCAGTCACAATGTTTTATCTCTACTCTTGCTTCTGAGCGGTCATTGGATTCTCTTTCTCATGTATGCACCAATTGGTGCATGGCTTACATTTAAGTGAGTATTTATATTTATGTGTAAAACAAATGGTCGTGTAGTGCAAAAATTGTTGATATAATATTATGTAAAAAAAAATTTTGTCAACTGATGCAAGTCAAGTTAACTGAGAGTACTTTTTTGCCATACATTTCAAACTGTCTAACCTGGTTTCTCTTTGTGTGCTAATTATATTTCAAACTGATTTTTCCCGAAGTTAAACAAAGTGATTAATACCAAGTTAGAGGGCTTGTTCAAGTTTCTGCTAAAGGTCATTTGAAGGCCAATCCAACTGCAACCTCCAGCCCATGTCCGCTGATGAAATAAATCAGAAATCAGGTTTAGAAGAGTATGTTATTGGTCAGGTAATCACAAATATTTCCAAATGAATTGTGTCAGGGTGCAGTGGAATCATGCACTTGTCAATAATTTTTGGGCATTTTGAGTTATTGGTATTGTCTTAAATTTGTTCATTTGTTTTGCTTTCGATGAAAGAAATACCCATTTATCTTGAATACAAGTCGAAATATTTGTGATTGAAGGACGTGTGGGTCGCTTGATTTCAGAGTAAAATTGTCAAGAAAATGGCTGCCTAACCTTGTGCTTTTAATCAGCATTTTAAAGTAAAATCCACACAGAAATTGGTTCTTTAAAGGACTTAAAAGGTATTGGACCCACACAAATTTTTAAAATGAAAATTGCCAAACCGACGGAACATGCCAGTTTCTTCAATTTCATTATATTGACAATTGTTTCCTGAATAGTTTAAAAGATTTAATCATACTTTATTTGAATAAAGTAATAGAACAGCAGGGAAAAAATCATGAGGCATTATATTTGAGTAACAGTTGTTTCTGAGTGAGTACAGCAATCTGAAATTGTTTGTACTTTAAAATAAAATTTATTCAGGTGTTTAAAAAAAAAAAAAGAAAGAAATCTTCCCAGTAATAAAATGTGAAATGATTTTTCTTTTGGCTATTAGACTTATAATGTTTCGGTTTGAGTTATTTTTTAGCATTTTTTTATTTGTCTGAAATAACTTTTTATCCACAGATTTGTGACGAAGCCCTCTGGAAACATCGGGATGTTTGACCCAACAGAAATCCACAATCAGAAGCATTTGAAGCAATACATGAGGGAAAGTTTGGTTCGCCTTGGCTTTCATCTTGTATTCTTTTTTGTCTTCCTGTACTGGTGAGTTGATTCAATTTTTTTTTCTGTGTTTTTTGTGTGCGTTCACTTCCCTGTGAGCAAAAACAGACAGACAGGTGGATGGACAAAGGGAGAAAGAGATAAAGTAAAGTCTGAGTGGTTGACTGTGAATGACCATGCAGGCAAGGATGAAAGAGCCATATGTAAGGCATCCTGGTAAAATCAGGCGCTCATCAAAATAATGAAATCAAAGAAACAGGCATTTTTGCGCCAGTTTGGCAATTTTTATTGAATTTTTTTTTTTAGCTCAACACCTTTTATGTTCATATAAAAACACATTTCTATGTGAATTTTATGGAAAAGGCATTGGTTAAAGGCACAAAACATGTAATTTTTCAATTTGCAAGGACTCTCAAGCTATTGAAGTTACTAAACTTTGACAGCCATTATCTCGCTAATATTACCACTGAAACCAGGTGAGCCAACCTCCTTCAATTGCAAATATCTCCTCTTCTATTCAAGATAGATGGGTATTTTTTCCATTGACAGCAAGGCAAATGAGTAAGCTTTCAGATGATACCAATAACTCCACATATCCAAAAGTTGACAAGCACCTGATTCCACCGCGTCACGACACATATGATGATATAATGCTAAGTACTGTGGGAAGATATGCACAAGTCACAACTGGAAATCGTCTAAAGTATGAAGTGAGCCTTTTGAAAGACCCAGTAAAGAAGAATGAGTTCAAGTTGGAACTGAAGAACAGATTTCAAGCCCTTCAAGATCTGGATGAATGTGAAGTCAACGAACACTGGGATAAGATAAGAGAGGCAGTAAATGCAACTTGCCAGAGCACCCTAGGACCCAAAGACAACACCAGGAATGAATGGATTTCACAGGACTCTCGGGACAAAGTCAAAAGAAGAAGAGAGCTGAAGACCCAAGTCAACAACAGCCGTACCCGAACTGAGAAACTCGCTGCACAACAAGAGTATACCGAAGTAAACCGGGAGGTAAAGAATTCCATCAAGAAGGACGAGAATACCCACCTAAATGGCCTGGCCGAAAAGGCAGAGAAAGCAGCAACAGACGGGCACTTACGGATTGTACACCAGACTACAAGAACTCTTTCAAGTGGGTTCAGCAAGCCCACTCTACCAGTGAAAGACAAAGAGGGAAAGACTGTCTTCAACCCAGAGTGGCAACTTAACCGATGGAGAGAACACTTTGATCAACTATTGAACAGTCCACCTCCAGAAAACCAAGAAATTCTTCCAGCCAGAAATGACCTCCCAATAGTCACGGAACCACCTTCAAGAGAGGAAATTGCAGCCGCTATAAAAACACTGAAGTCCCACAAAGCAGCTGGTCCCGACCATATACCACCGGAAGCCCTTAAGGCAGAGAAAGATATGTTTGTGGAAATTCTCTATGCTCTATTTGAAAAGGTTTGGCAAAAGGAGGAAATACCATCAGACTGGAAGGAAGGCCACCTAATCAAGCTGCCAAAGAAAGGAGACCTCAGCAATTGTAACAACTACAGAGGAATTACACTCCTGTCCGTACCTGGGAAAGTCTTCAACAGGATACTCCTGGAGAGAATCAAGCTGGCAACAGATGAGAAGCTTCGAGGAAACCAGGCAGGATTCTGCAAAAACCGATCATGTGTGGACCAGATCGCTACTCTGCGCATCATTGTTTAGCAATCACTTGAATGGAACTCACCACTCGTGGTCAACTTCATTGACTATGAAAAGGCGTTAAACAGCGTGGACAGGGAAACTCTGTGGAAGCTCATGTGGCATTTTGGAATACCTGAGAAAATCGTCAAGCTTGTGAAGGCCACCTATGATGGAACAAACTGCCAAGTCTTCCACGAAGGACAACTCTCAGAACCATTCCAGGTACAGACAGGAGTGCAACAAGGATGCTTGCTCTCACCTTTTCTCTTCATTCTGGCAATTGGCTGGGTCATGAAAGAAGCCACCAGAGGCAGACTTAATGGAATACAATGGATCCTTTGGCAGCAGCTGGACGACTTGGGCTTCGCAGATGACCTTGCACTGCTCTCTCACACACATGCTCAGATGCAAGAAAAGACCAAGGAACTCAACAGCCTGTCTAGGAGTGTTGGCCTACGTATACATCCAGGTAAGTCAAAAGTAGTGAAGCTAGGAAAAGTTTCAAGCCCTGCTGTGACAGTGGAAGACACTCCCCTGGAAGAAGTGGACTCCTTTACCTACCGTGGAAGTGTCATGGATGGTAAAGGTGGAACCGAGGCAGATGTTAAAGCAAGAACCGCCAAGGCAAGGTCAGCGTTCAAGCAGTTATCAAAAGTCTGGAAAGCAAGCAACATCTCACTGCGCACCAAGATTCGACTCTTAAACTCCAACGTCAAGTCTGTGCTCCTCTACGGCTGCGAAACTTGGAAGACAATAAAGACAGTACTGAATAAAGTCCAGACTTTCGTCAACAGATGTATGAGGAGCATTCTAAGAATTAAGTGGCAGGATAGAATAAGAAATGAAAAGCTGTGGGAAAGAACAGAACAAAAGGATATAGAAGTAGAAATAGGACTAACAAAGTGGCGATGGATGGGACACACCTTAAGAAAGCCCAGTGGAAACATCACAAGACAGTCACTGCAGTGGAACCCACAAGGAGCATGAAGCAGGGGTAGGCCACGGGAAACATGGAGATGCGTGGAAAGGGACATGAGAGAAATGAAGCTCACTTGGAACGAGCTTGGAAGGATGGCTCAGGACAGAGATAAATGGAAGGAGCTTGTATGTGGCCTATACCCTGCCAGGGGTGAAAGGCATTAATGATGATGATGATGATGACTGTGGCTTCCGCATAGGAATCCAATCCTGGGGAAACCGAATAGCAGGTTCTTATGTGGAACAGGAATTTTAGACAGATTTGAAGAGGTGCCGCTCACCTCCTGCAAATTGGATAAATTGGATGGTTACCACCTTTGTTTATTCTTTTAGCTGAAATATGAATCGTGGGATATCCTTATATAAATGTGTTGGGATTTTTTTGTGAGCCACATGACTAAATGCCTTAATAGGATATCATTTACCAATTGATTGACCAGCTTCAGTTGAACTCACATGCCTGCCATGACTTTACATACAATGTGTGGATGGTGCAGACTTGCCTCTCATCCCGATTTAATCGGGATATCCCGATTTTTTTCCCAAAATGTCAAGCATCCCGATTTTCCTGATTTTGATCACATGTATCCCGATTTTTTTGTTTGTTCTGTCTTTTGCGCAGTATTTTTCTAAAAGCTTACTCTGCCTTTTTCTCTGTCACAGGAAGCACCTGTTAAACTTTTTGTCTGCAGGGACTCAGAGCACTATTTTCGGAAATATCAATGCCGGATTTAATAGTTGACTCACCTCAAGTTGTGTAGGACCTTTACTCACTCATGTTATTTCAACTATAATGAGAGTAGTATCAATTTGTTCTTCCGACTTGGGACATTCTCAATTTCTACTCTAGTTTTCACTCAGAAATCTCCGATGATGGCCTGATAACTTCAGTTTCGACGTACGAATGAATGTACATAGTTCTGCTGTTACTTTCAAAACAAGCTTTGTCTGAACTCTGGTTAGTTGGGTCAGTCATCAAGACCCATCTGTCAGTAAAACTGATTTAATCCCGCGTTGGCATCTCATGATATGACTTCAGCGTGTGAGTTCCGTATGTGTTGGGGATCATCCGTTGACGGGGTCAACTTAAAAAAAGGTTTATGCACACTTGTTGAAGTATCCTTTGGGACTTATTGGGTGGTGGGGTGTTAGACACTTGGACTAGGAGTGCTTGACATGATACTTCAGGATTTAAACAAAATAATGATTAAACCTACATATGCGCTCACACACACACACACACACACACACACACACACACACACACACACACACACACACACAGAAAGAGAGAGAGGGGGGGCGTGTACATGGATATATTTATGGACACCCCAGGCAAATTTTTGGTCCAGCTTGGCAGTCACCTTGATAATTTGTTGCTGATCCTGATTTTTTTCACCAAATCCCATTTTTTCCCCCCCTGAGATCCTGATTTCTAGATTTCATAGAGTGACAGGTCTGATTTTGGCGTCTGCTTGTCCATGCCCATTTGTCCTGTTTCCATCTCCATCATTAAAAAGCAGAAGGTGTAACAGTTACACTGTAGCATTTCTTTTTCTGACCGTACCTGTCAAAAGGATCATGTGCTTGATAGTGAGCAAGTGCCATATCAAACGAAAAGTAGAGGGAGGGTGTCAGAGCTTCCGCAAGGCCTTGGCCACTTCTTCCCTCCCTCATACTCCTCTCAATGTATCTTATTGAAGTGTGTAGGCCTTGAAGAGAACTTTTTTGTTTTCTCAATAATATCAATATGCCGTAAATCAAAAATGCTTAAAATTATGAGATTATTTTCCGCAGTTCATAGCAGATTTTTGGGGGAGTATTATTTTTTGAACAGGTCTTGTACATGTAAATTAGAGGGAGTTACTTGTTAAAACTAGGCTTTTTGGTGGATCCGGTCTTTGTGCAGCTTGTTCTTAGTCAGAGACCTTTCTAGTAAACTGTTAATATACTCAACATGTTTTTCAAAAACAGCTGTAAAGATGTACATCTGTTCTAAGCAGATTGTGGCCTATTGGGTTTTTGGTTCTCATTCAAGAAGTAGGCTGCTATGTGAAACCTTTTAGATTGTTAAACTGACTAAACAGAAGCTTTTTTTAATAGTCTTTAGTGCCTATAATTGGCTGCTTGCTCTGTATGCTTCCCAGGAAGTTAAGATTGTTTCAGAATGCTCTCTTGTGAAGCGAATAGAGCTTGCTGTTGAGCGGGGATTTGCGCTATACAAATGCTATCTATTATTAACAATTTCTGGCATAGTAAATAAAATAGCAGTTTGAGTTTATTCTATTTTTTAGCATAAAGCAATACAACGAGTTCTTTCACAATTTGAACAAGAAGTATTTTTAAGTAGCAGCTAGTTCAGTGAATATAATTTTAACGTCTGAATGAAACTGAGCCGGTAGTGTAAATTGGGTTAGATTGATTGTAAGGGAATTCACCTTGGATGGGTGAGCTTTTTTTTTGCTATTTTGTTGTACACAGCATAATTTGTTTTACTGATAATTTGGACAAAAAGCGTTTGAAATAGCTTTTCTGCTTTGTATTTTCTTTCAGGATGATCTACTCCCTCGTGAAGGGGCACTAGAGATGCAGCTCCCAGATTACCTGAGAATGATGTGCATGCTGTATTATGTGTGTGTGTGTTTGTAAATGAGCATAATAGAATTACCTAATGAGAATCCATGTTGTATCATATTGTTCTCACATTACCCACTTACATATGAAGCATTCTTGAAGTTTGGTTGAAATACTTTTCTTGAATGAAAGTTGATTGGCTAAGTTTTGTGTTTTCATATTTTTCAATGTGGACATATTCAGAGATAAAAGAAAAAAATGAATGGTTCGAGAAATATTATATCAAGGAGAGTGTGCAGCCTTTCGTTATTTTGCACACGTTGGTGTTAGAATATTGAGGGATAAAACTGAGAAAGTCTGGCAACAGATTTGGAGCCTCGTTTATTATGGCATCATGGCTAAGCGATGAACACATTACATCTTTATTGTGTATGCGCCTGATGGGATGAATTGATTTTGTTTTGTTTCTCCTTTGCAGTGGAATGTTTTGCTTCTGTTGACTTTGCTTGTTTAATTTCATGACTGGAAAATGTACGGTTGAACCTGTCCATAGCAATCACTCAAGGCCACTGATAAAAATGACCCTTTAGACAGTTGGCTGCTTTGGACCTGATATGAGTTATTGTCACTTACTAGACTTGGAAAAATCAATAGATGGTTTCAGATCTGAAATCTTAATTTTTTCTTTCCATTTCGTTTCCATCAAAATTGTTATCTATTGTAAAGGCTTTTGTGCAATGATTGAAAGTGCTCTCTCAGTCTGAGGACTTGTAACAAATGGCCACAAAGAGCAGATAGATGCTGAATTGCCGTAAAAACGACCGACAGGGGCCGCGTTGGACAGGGGCCGCTGTGGACAGGCTAAAAAGAATATATCAGAAAACCACAAGGGAGTCACAGAAAAGTTGCCATTAGTACAGATGATCGCTATTGAGAGTTGACCTCTTGGGCAGGTTCGACGGCATATTTTGTATTGTATATCTTCATTTTTAATCAGATACAATGGAGTCCACTGAAACCGAACACTTTTAATCCGAAAACAGCTGTGCGCTCCATGAAAATAGAATCCTCTTTTTTTGGTCTTCTTTGCCCTTGTGCCCAGCCTATGAGTATGGGATGTATATTATATATCACTGGCATTGGGCTTTTTCACATCTTCTCTAGGCTAGTTCAAAGCTCAGTACAGAGTGCTTTGTGTTCTGTGTTACTGTTTGATTAAGTAAGCTGACTATGTTGAAGAGAAAGCACTGCTCAAAGTGCAGTTACTGAAAGAGGTAAATGAGAAATTTTTAAAAAAGTGAAATTTGCTGCAAGCATGGCATTCCCAACTCTACATTGTGGACAGTTATCACTATTTGAGCAACCTCTCTCAACTGAAAACACAGCTAAACCGAACAAAATGCGGCAGCCTTGCAGATTTCAGTTTAGAGGGCTCCACTGTAGTTCTGTTTTAGAGTCTACCATTGCTTTCTTTTTGTCCCACTTTTCATTTGTTTCAGTGTTCAGATCTGCACTTATTATTGCTTTTGAGTTATGTTTCATGTGAACTGTTTGTTGATTCATACATGTTGTTTATTATGTTTTCTCTTTTTACAAGTCTTAGTAAGGTGGACAGGACGACATCTAAGGGGTAAATACTTAATCCTTGAGGCTTTATGTGCTTTCAGTTTGGCGGGTTTATTGATACAATTTGCCAATGGTTTTTATTTTGACTCTGGTGTCTGTGATGAAACTGGTTGTAGAACATTTTTCTCTCTTGTTCTCTAGTCTATTTCTTCATGTAGGTTACTTGACTTGTTTTTGTGGTTGGTTGGCGGGTGCTCTGGTGTGGTTTGCTCCTTCTTTCCTATCAAACATTTCGTCCTTATCTCCCCTCCTTCTTTTTTGTGTATGTTACTCTCTTGTAACACATCTATTCTTCTGCACTTATATGACCTTATTGCGTTGCAAGTGCCGTAAAACTCTTACTAAAGCAGACTTGTTTTGTGCCTGCCTTACAGAGACATAACGGAGGAAAAGAAACTAAGAATTATTATTTACAAAATACTGTGTTAAATTTTTAGGCTTGTTCTAAATGTATCCGTTCCTTACTTCTCAAGATCTCTTTTTCTGTTTAAAGAGACGACGTGTCTTTTATTAAGTTTACTTATAAATGATAATTGAAATGATCAGCAAAATTATCTAAATTATATTGAGTGGGGGTGTAAAACATCTTCAAAAATGTTCAACAATTTAAAACCAAAAAAAAAGAACTTAAGTGAAACCTTCCATGAACACTTTCTTATACTTATAATGTTTACTAGTTTTTGTTTGTTTTTGTAAAGTGTTTTACGGCGCTCGCAACTGCATAAGGTCATATGAGCGCGCGGGACACATCTAATTATTTCAGTTGGTAGGAAATTTTGAATTTTGCCCGGGTGGCGGCCGAAGCCTACTCTTATTGATTTTAGACCACCAAGGGATCTTTAATGTGCGCAACTTGCACATGGGCCCTCCATGAACACTTTCAGGTGTTTGTGTCTGGAATTGGCTTTTTCATTGTATGTCTAGGCTTGTATGGACTTTTTATCTTTAGTAAGACTGAATTTTGCATAATCTAAGTTGTGTTGGGACATAAAACAATTACCTTGTTAAAACATGCTGGGGGATGACCCATATTAGTAAGTCTGTGAGTGGATAGGACTCTTTGAATGTGGGTGGTTGGCGGGTGCTCTGGTGTGGTTTGTTTCTTTTTTCCTATCAAATATCTATTGTCTTTATCTCCCCTCCTTCTTTTTTGTGTTTGTTACTCTCTTGTAACACCTCTAATTTCAGCACTCATATGACCTTATTGTGTTGCAAGTGCCATAAAACACTTACTAAAACGAAAGGACTCTTTGAATATTATATTCCTTGCCTTTTCTCTTGGTTTTTATTTTGTATCTTTCATCAGGTCCAAGGATTTTACTCCTTATTGTAATTTTTATAATCTATTCAGGGCTTGATGCTTGTCTATAAACTTGCTCACTCCTACTGACTGGAATGCTTTGATTAAGATTCTCAGTATTAACCTACCAAGTAAAGAATAGTTGGACAGGGTGTTTGTCATCTGAAATTCCATTTACTTTTCCATTGTAACTTTCCTTATTACCTTTGTTGTGATTGATCTGATTTCTCAAACTTTTACGGGATATGGATAAGCTCACTCTGTCTTGGCTGCATTGGGGTCTCTTGTACACTTCATCCAGGGCTTTTTGTATGTGAGTGGTTGGCAGGTGCTCTGGTTTTCTTCTTAATTCCTATCAAACATCTGTTGTTCCCGTCTCTCCCTTTCCCTCCTCCCTTTCTTTGTATGTTATTTTTTGGTAAAATCTCTAATCTTCTGCATTTTTACAACCTATTTATGTCACAAGTGCTGTAAAACTCCTATTATTAGAACTGAGACTAAACTTTTAGTATTGTGTCCGCATGATGTGTTTTATTTACAGAAGAAGTGTAGAACGGCCTGTTGTACAGAGATGCTGAGAAATCCATTAGCTGTTTGTGTTCTTTGTTAATGTCAGCTTCTTCATTTTGATGTATTTTTTTTGTTTTCCTGAGTTCATGTTCAGACTGGCTGAAAGGAGTAAAAATGACCCTTCATAGTATTTCTGTGAGAATGTTTATTTGATAATACCTCAAAAAATAAAAAGCTTGTTTGAAATTTTTTTGACAAAGATACATTTTTAAATTTTTATTTGGTTACTGCTCAAGGTGACTGTTGTTCCTGTGAAAAAATAACAGTATTTCATTGTCTTTTTTTGTGGTCCAAAACTGAAAAATTGCAGCATTGTACTTAAATATTTGTTTGTCGTTATATTATTGTCTCCTGCACTGGTTCTTGCATTTTGAACATTTTTTGTTGACCTTCGTGCCTCATTAGTCACATATATATAAACATAAATGTATATATATAAATGTCTTATGGGTTTCAGTTTGTTAGAAACAAAATGCTCACAGTTTCTAGCTTAGTCTGCTTAGGTTGTTCTTCTCTGCCTATTTCACTCTGGTATGGTACTGGGTTTAGGCGACTAAGAAGAGCTGTTTACCTGTTTCTGTTTGGGCGATCCTCCTACCTTCAGCCAGCTGTGTCCCATCTGTCCCAGATCTGCCCCCAGATCTCGTTCCAAGGTGTATCTTGGCCTTTCTCTCCTTCTCCATGTTGTCTCCACCAGGAGTGTTGATGTCTCTGCCCAAGATTTGTCACTGGTTGTTACTCTTTTTTAAAATTTTGACGTTTCAGTTTCAGTAACGACAGGTTAGTTTTCCAGAGTAGGTATGCTAGCCCTGCACCCAAACCCCAACCTTGACGAACAGTTGTCTCTATTTCAGGAGGCACTACCTATGTTGCCATTTAGTCGTCACTTACATGCTAGTCTCACATTAAAAACCTATTCTTCTCAGAAAGCTGGAGACTGAACGGCAGAGCTTAGGTTCAGCTGACTATTTAGTTTTTAATTTACTGGACACAGACTGTTAACATATGGTATCTTATATTCAGGTTCCTCGTTAAGTGAGAAATTTGAGTTGGTACATATTTTCCCCGATTTCTTTTTATTGCATAATTAGTTTCCACTACTTCACCAACACATGCAAAACAGCCTTGATTTGACCAAAAACATATTTTGCTGAAAAAACATGACATTTTTTAATGGCTACCTCACCTTTGTTTTTTGGTCTATGTTTCCACTTTTTAGAAAGATTTTGTTGTGTATTTCATACTTTAGCTAGTTTTGACACTATTTGGTTCCTATTTTCTATGTGTTGTGTGTTAGTATTCCTTGATAAAGTTTCTGAGCTATTATTTGAAGATCTTTGGTTTTTATTTATTTCTTTTTGGTTGGGGGATATTTGGTAATACTGTAACTTTCATACAAACACCAATAGGGACATGCTGCATAAAAATGGCACAGATATCACAAAGGATCCAAGAGAAATAAATCTGTACATTTTTTATTAAGATTATTTTCCTTAGTTTCCATGGCATATGAGTTATGAAAGATTTTTAAAAATAAGCACCCGATTTTGATTTTCCCCTTAGAACTAAACAAATACAAAAAGTCCAAATTGTAAGTGATATAAGGGGTAGTGCTGGAGACAAAATTCTAATCCGTTTTAAATCGATCTGGTAACAGAAGTTAGGGGTCAATGTGCGGTGGAGGAAGTGAGGACAAAGGACAATTCTGATCCCAAAGATCTTTACAAAGGGTACATTGTTGAACTCGGCGCTGTGTTGGACATTACCTCTAAATTTCAATAGTTATGACTTGTTTCGGTCATGTATTCATTACAATGAACAAGTTACTGTCTGAAGATCATAGTATATAGTACAGACCGTTAACAGCTAAACTACACATACAGAGGTGGGGAATTTGTGGATAAATCCGGATTCCTGAAATCTTTCAGATTTTACCGGACTTCAGGCTGATTGTTGAGAAAGTGTTGCTCTTCATAAAACTTTATTATAAACTCTTGATTCGAGATGTGTCAGACAAAATAATCTGTAAATTTTTAGTCCCTTTCCAATGGGGTCAGGAAAATTCAGGATTTAATTTTTGTAGCCAGTTGGTACCTCTTGCTCTTTGTTACATGCAACAAGAATGTAAGAGGTGTGTGAATAACTTCAGTTCCATCTATAACTGAGAAATATAAAGTACATTTTGTTGTGAAAAGTGGTACCGCTAGACATATTTGATTATTTTAAGATTTAACCACGAAATTCAAGAGCAAATTTGAGAAATCAATTTGTAAGGGAATTAAGCATTGCTGACCTATGGTTCCTTTTGTCTTAACATTATTTCTTTCATATAGTTGTAACGGTATAATTTTTGTCGAATGTTTATGGAATGGAAGGCTTCTGTGTCTTGTTTGAAGTATATGTACAAATATCAAGAATTTCTTATAGCTTGTTGATCAAATAATGAATAATGTGTCTTGATTTTACTGAATAACGAAATTATTTTTACTTTGTTGACAATTGTCCCATAACATTGATATCAGTGTGGTGTTATTGCTTTAATTCTCATACTGTATTCAGAGTCGTATATCTATAGAGGCTGCAAAATGTGTCTTAGCACCCAGTTGATCTGTCTCAGCTTTCAGACCTTCTTTCCCTGTTTGAGAGTCTGTGGCAGTAGCAGTAGGCAGCATAAAGGTGTGAAAGATATTTGAATATTCTAACTAAGCTGGACTGGTCAGTTTTTGAATATTTGAACTAGGCTTGACAGATCATTAAAAAAATATTTGAACTAGGCTTGACAGATTATTTTTTTTGAATATTTGAATTAGGTTTTACAGGGCTTCCCGGATCATTTTTTGAATATTTGAACTAGACTTGACAGGGCATGAAGAATCGTTTTTTGAATATTTGAACTAGGCTTGGTAGATCATTTTTTAAATATTTGAACTAGGCTTGACAGATCATTATCTTCAGGAAGACCTTGTTAACACCATGTCCCCAGTGACAGCAGAAGTTCAAGGGTGTTTTTTTATATATCCGACGATGCTGACGACTTCATGTAGGCATCATTCTTCTGCACCCAAGTCTGACCAAGGTGCCCTACCATCGGAGGGTGGGGGGTGGGCGCATATCTGCACTAAGAATTACTGACATGGATACCATTTTGAGGTATCTTTTCTTAGTGCTAACAATAGAGGCACAGCGTCTGTTTTATGTAAACTATCATCTCTGTTCTGTTTAAGGTAACACTTTTATGTAAAATTGAATTGTTACTATGACTTTGATTTATTTGACCCAGAATATATTGCTAGCATGCTAAGCTGTTTGTCGCATAGTGAATATATGACATGTAATTTTGTAATTTTTAGTTTCGCAATAAAAAGTTATAGCTCAGCTGATCACTATATTCCGCTCCTTAATTATGCTTACGAATAGAATACTCAAAAGTTGTAACTGTAACAGGTTATTTAACAAGTTTTGTTTGATCGTTTGTGAAATGTAAAATTGTCTTCATCGTACAGCCATTGTCATGCTGTTGTTATGTAAACACTTCAGGTTAATGTATGTTTGCCTTATTGAGACTATTTTTGTTTTTACATGTTGGTTTGTTTTCTTTAAACATAAGTATGCGTTAATTTATTCTTTCTGTCCCCCTGTGATTGTAGTTAGTATTAACTGCATCAGCAAAAACTCAATTGTTTTCTATTTGTTTGTTTACTTTTTGGCAGAAGAAGGCAAAAATATTGTTGGTAGTTATTGATGACTTTTTATTTTGTTTGTGATGAATCAGTTTTATCGTGAATATAAGTTGCACACATTACTGAAGTCTGGGACTGTTTCTTAATTTAAGAAGAAAAATTCTTGATAGTGCTTCAATGCAGTCCTTGTACATGAAGTAAAGTAGTCGATTACATCAGATCTTCCCGTTTTTGGCTGTCATTATAGAGTTTGTGTTTTCGTTTGTTCCTCACCCTCATATAAAAAAAAAGATTCGGTTGTGAAAGTAACAATAATATAAAGAATTTCTTTTCTTATTAAGAACTCTTTTCGGGCTTGATGATTTCTCTTCAAATGTTCCTCTGTTGAATTCCTTTCTGTATTGCAGCACTCTTTATTTTCCTTTCACATGCTTTGATTGGTGTGTTCAAATAGTTTGAAATATGTTTTCTTATTGATATATTTGTAAAGTTTGCCGGAGCACAGTAATGCCACTAATAAAATGTGAAAAGAAATTCATGTTCTTATGAGTTTATTGGTTCTATTCTTATTGCCTTCTTGGTCATGGAATTATGTTATAATAATAATAATGCAGATAATTTCTATAGTGGCCACTCAACTAAAATGCAGCTCAAGGTGTTTTAAAATACCTTCTTTTTGGTACAAAATACATGAGCATGAACATGCATACTCTTTAGAAGAAATGGCCGTCAAAGTTTGGTAATTCCATCAGATAAACAGTCTTTGAAAACTGAAAAACAAAATTTTTCAAACCTTTAATCAATGTTTTTCAGAAAAATTCAAATGTAAATGTGTTTTTATATGGACATAAAAAACGTTAAGCTAAAAAATAAAAATTTGATTAAAATTTCCACACTGGCAGTTTCTCTGATTTCGTTATTTTGACGAGCGCCTGATCAACACAGGTACTTTGAAGTCTTGAATCTAAGAGGACAAGGAAGAAGAATTTAAAAAATATTTTTATTTTTTAATATCAACCCAGTTTGGACCATTTAACACATTTATTAAGTTTAAGAGGTTTGGCTCTGACCCTGCCATTAAAAGAAGACTGAGAACTATTAAAAAGAACACTGTCAGGAGAGTCGGCTAATACAGATGAAAAAAAACAACCCCCAAATGAGATGGAACAACCAGTAAAATGTGACATCCATTGTGGCTAATTATGAAGTGCTGCATGTATGCACACACCAATTCCTGAGATCCTAAGACCTCATTTTCCATGTAAAGAAAGTCACGGCCCAACAAAGCAAGCTAATCTCACTTTATCCTTAAAATCAAAGCAAAATATAGAGCAGTCCACTTAAATCAAACATGGTTAATGAGTTAATGGTCCGAAAAAAGCATTAGATCAAAAGAAAACAATCCCTGGTTTTTTTTTCCTTCTCTATTTAAGCACTCTTAACCGAAAACAGCAGTTGGCGGGTGCTCTGACGACAGTGATGAGGTTTGCTCCTTCTTTCCTATCAAACATCTATCGGTCTGATCTCTCCTCCTTTTGTGTTTGTTACTCTTGTAATACCTCTAATCTTTAGCACTTATATGACCTTGTCATGTTGCAAGTGCCGTAAGACTCTTATTAAAACTAAAAAAGAAAATACAGCTAAATCGAAGTATTCAGTGGGCCCACGGATTTCGGCTTAAGCGGACTCCATTGTCTTTTGCACCAGAGAAGGAAACCAAGTCACAGCAGATAATGCAGGTCGTTTGCTTTTAAATCACTCAGCCCTAACGCCGATAATATCGGTATGTGCGCGCAACACTCAAACACTAACGCCGATAGTATCAGTATGGAACATTTCGCTCTCGTGACCAGAAATACATGTACTACCTTTGAGTGAAGCAGACTAGTATAGTCTAATTGGAAGAGTTACGTTACCATTTTATGTTTGAAACAGACTATGACCACAAGTGCACGCTCAAGTTTAGGACAAAGAAAGCTATATTCATGAACCATGTGAGGGGGTGCGAAATTTGAACGCACTTCCTTTCTTCACTTTTGTTTACTTTTTGACTCTGTGTACAGACCTTTTACCACAGAGTATTGCATAAAAGCTATGACGTATTTTGCTTTACAATTTTCAATACACTCAAACTCAAAGGTTTGAATAAAATGTGTACCACATTTGTGTAGGTAAAATTGAGTATTTTTTTCAATTTTTCAAAAAGTAAAAATCTCTAGGGAGAGCTGACAACCCGAAAGTGCAGCCCTTGTTTTATTTATTTAGTAGAGGTTTTACTGCACTCGCAACTGCATAAGGTCATATGAGCGCCAAGGGGTGAATGTCAACAGAGAAATCTTTACAGGGAAGATTGTATGACAAACATACAAAAGAAGAAGAGGAAAAATGACAATAGTAAGGATTAGGAAAGAAAAAGCAGCAGTTCCCTGTTGTAGATCAGGCAGTTATGAGCATGATGTCCATTGATGAATCAGCCCATTTACAATTCTACTGTGCATGAACGAGAAATGTCCCCCCTCTGGGAATGGCCAAAAGACACTTCAGTGAGTAGCAGCGCCCTGGGGGTATGCAGCCCATGGGTTGAGTGAGTCAATGAAGGTGATACTACACGCCCATCGACACAATTTAGATAATTGTCAGGGCCAACCTGGGCTGAGAGGGATACAACATCCCCACAGAAAGACCGAGATACTGAATACAAATTTTCACCTCACTTGGGAAACAAACTCGGGTCTCCTGTGTGCACCAGCAAAGTGTCTTACCGTTACACCACAGATGCGCGTTTGATCGTTTGTACTTACAGTGCAATAGTCAATTGTCCAGCTACAAATCAACAGGTTTATTGCATATATAGAAAATGAGGAAAAAACGTTCGATTGTATACATTTATTAATTTTTATTGATCATATTAGAAGGCATTCTTAATTTTGTTTTCACAAGAAAATAGTAATTATCGATTACACAGAATTCCACAACACACTTAACTACAAGATGAGAAATCCAGTTGGCTGAAAGGTGACATGCAAAGAACACAAAGCATAGGTTTATTTCATACACAAGGTTGCATTGACATATTTACATTATCATTGGGTTGGGTAAATCTCTGGAGCTAGTAAAATTTCTGCTGAATTCACAAGTCACAGCTGCTGTTGTATTATTGTTTTCTTCTAAATCTCTCATCAGCTTCCTTCAGTAGGAAAGCTGACTAATTGAGATTATAGAGAAAAAGAAATCAACCCAGCACCCTTCTATGCTCACTTTGGATTACAATTTTTAAATTTTTTTTTACAAAGAATCAGACGGTTCTTTGGGTGGCTGTCCTGAAAATGAGCAGGAATCAAAATTGCAACTTCCCATTACACAGTTGTTCCTAGAACACCATCGGGTAGTTTGCTGCCATAGTAGCGGATTGTAGAGGGAGGAATGTCATGGAGGGATGAACTGAGCCAGTTTGTAAAGTGACGTTTTTCACTCAAGAGAGACTGAGGGCATCTCCGGAGTGTGCTGCGGGTCAGAGACGATTCTGATTGTTTCTCCATCGTTTGCACTAATGGTTCGCTTGCAATAATTGATTAAAAGAGACATGAACATCGGGCAATTCACATTAACATAAAAATGTATGGCAACGCATGGGCACACATACCATAAACTGCAGCTTTTACGTTTTCTGAGGCATGTATGCTAATGTAAGAATTGAGCTTAGCAGCACTTTTTTTGTTTCCACTCATGACAAAAGGAGTGACACCCATCACGAATCACTTAGCAGGTAAGAAAAATTTCTTTCCAACAAGTGTAAAAAAAAATAAAGACAGACACAAAAAGAAACTCATAAGTACCAACTCTCCATCTTCCACTCATCTCAAATAAAACTAATTTATAGGCAAAACTAGATATAACACAGTGCATTAAAGTTCAAGTGAAAAGGATAAATAATTGAAAAGAAAATTATGACAATTTGTTTCTTCACGTCATACTGATTTCCACTAATAGGAACTAAACCTGCAATTTATTCAAAATACAAAAGAAAATACTCATTAGCATAAAAATATAATAAATTCAGTGAAAAATCAACTGAAAATTATGCATGTGCCACACTAAAAAGTTTTTATCACTTATGATTCCCAAGCTCTTACTTTGTATAAGATTAGTAAGGTTTATTTACACTATAAACCCAATTCAGAAATCTCTTTCTGTGTAATCTTATTTAAACCCTCTCCACTCCATATTCATATTAAAAGACACCGAAATCTCCTGTCAAACACCATTCCCAACACTATTCACTGGTACATTACTCTGAACGAGTGAATATTTTTTTAACACAAAGGTTTTTCTTGAAGAATTTTGTTTCTGTTTACACTGACCAGTCTAATTTTCTGCCCCAACACTATCACTCCACCAGCAGGACTTTGAGAACTATACTTTAACACTGATTTACTGGAAACATTTTACACACTACTCTACCAAAACTTGTCAGCTTCAGAGAATGTTACAAAGAATGTATCTGCCTTCACTTTACGGGGACTTTATGTTGGAATGTCAGTGGCTCATACCTCAGCACAGAACACGACATTATTATAATGACTTTCTACAATAATTTGTTGAAGTCTAGTCTAGTTCACTTTTATGCTGCAAGCATATCACATACTGCTGTCCCCAATATCATTATGTTGGCATAGAGAAGGGAAGTTTAAAATAAATTTTAAAATATTTTTTACAGAAAATAATTTTGCCAAGTTTTCAATACTATTTCATGTAGAGAATAGTTGAAATATTGAAACATTCCCATCCACCAAGGAGTCACCACTGTGTCAGTGTATGGGCCAGAAAGAGTCAAAAATCTTAAATCTTAAATGTTATTTTCTTTTTAAAAAGCAAAACAGTGAAAGTAAAAAAATAGTAAGGCACTGAATTGTGAAGGAAGAAAGTGCATAATGATTTCTAGCCTGAATAAAGCCTTGAAAAGAAAGGGGGAAAAAAAAGCCAAAACATACCCTTTATTGCTCATCAGACACTGGCTTTCATAATCATAGACACTTAGTACTTGCACATAAAATCATACACAAAGTGACTTGTAAGAACTTTCCACATAAACAGTAGAACAATGTCTTTGAGATCTATGATACACATCTTGTACAAGAGGGCATTATTATGGTATCTACAAAAAACACATGCTTGCCTATGATTTGTGTAGATGGTCGCAGCAAGCATGATTTTATGAGGAAAAAAAATTATGGACAAAGGTTGAATAATTATGGGCACAAAAACTGATGGATAATGGTTGATTTATGGTTCATCAAGGACACTCAAATAGATGCTTTCATAATATGGTCTTATGCATTTTTCTGTAAGCTGAGAACAGCCAAGTAGACCATCATGGGGAACAAAGGAACGGCAAAGAGATATGTGTCAGCGCCAATCACAATCAGACTTAAGTTGCACTGAGCTCCAAGGCCTGAAAGTGAAAGGAAAATAATAATTTGACCTTTGGAGGATTTTTTGTTTTTCTTATCTCATTATCTCATGAAAGTTTGGCGTTTTTCAGTTTTACTAAAAAAACAAAACAAAAAAACTTTACTCATCTATATATATATGCATTTCATTTTCATTTATTTCTGAAGTGTGTGGGGTCCGATGTAACATATTGCTCAACTTCAGAGCCTGTTTTCTAATTTCCATGTTTTTGCACCTTACAATTTTAGGGTTTCCATATTTTTGTCCAATATTGTTTTATTGACTTCATTTCTTTTTTCCAAATAGTTGGACAAAGGTGACAGTTTTTTACAGTAATATAAACTTAGTTAGCTTTGTTTGTTATTATCGAATCAAACTTAGTTCTTGAATCTGAATTTGATTGGCCCCGACATACTGATTTTCAAATTCACGATTCTCAGTTACATTAATAAGGAACAAAGCAATTGAAGTAGGTGAGATGGTTCTGTATATTTTGGAACTGACGGAATCCTTAAAAAACAACTGCACATCTTTGACAAAAGACCATACAAACAAAATTAAAGTGACATTGGAGAGAAAAATTCTTATTCTCTGATATCCCATGAGTCATTTCGGACTGAGTAAGGCCTAATTTACAACATCTGAACAGAGATTGCTTGTAAATGAATTACATACCTATCAACACAATTCAGATTAGTCAGAAGACAGGCTATCTCAACCCTGACCGCCAAGGTCAACCCATGCTGTTTGGAAAACAACTACACTACAACCCAGAAGAAAGCAGGAAATAGTTTATAATGTCACTCCAATACAAAAACGGTAATTTCAAGATCCACTTTAAAAACCCCCACCCCAATACCAAAAATGACTCATTGCTTTTAGAATATATCGTTCTCTCATGAGACATTAAGTATGGGTAAATCATACTTAAAGAGAGAGTTGGCTTGCCATGTTCCTCATCAAAGTAACTGAAACTGACCATATAATTATAATGGTGGAGAAGGTGAAAACAGGCAGCAACTATACTCTCATTGAATCCATTCAATGAAGGACATCTCTGAACATTCAGCATCAGTACTATAAACAATGTGAATTGTGACTGGATATATGCACATTCCAAGAAATGATTTCTATCAACTGTACAAAAAAAACCCAGGCAGATGTCACGAACACACACTTGAATCCTTTTGTTTCACAAAAGTGGTTTGTCCTGAGTCACTTCTTTAGTTTTGAACTTCACAAAAAGAGAAAGCATAAGGTTTCTGAACCGGTTAAATTAAAAGGGCAATCTTGATATAATAGAGACCCCCTAAGAAGAGTGGACAAAACAAAGGAACATTTCTCTCTACTGGAAACATTCGGAACAGTCAAAGTGCTTCGTTTTCCCTTGCTCTGGCTCAAGGACAGCCCAAACTGTTTGACAACATATGGGGCCATGATAGGGCTACATTCTAGCCTGGATCTATCATGATTGTAAATGTGTCACACCTCAATATGATTAATATAATTCGGGAGGCCGACTGTCTTACCTCCATAAAAGCCAATCCAGACCCTATATCCCAGGGGAAAAAAGCACTGGGGCTATCTCTTCAAAATCAGGAATCAAATTTGTAGGCCTACCTTTTCTGTGCAAGGTGGCCAGGATTTAAAAATTACCAATTCAAAACATTCTTCCAAATACAGCAACCACACTAAGGAACAGACAAACATCACAAAAAAGTATAAAAGAACAAAAGAATTCTAAATACGTATGATGAACGAAAAGTCTAAAACTCATTTATACAAAACAGGTGGAAAAAAGTCAGATGTCAGTTTATGGTGAAGTAACAGGCAAGTCACCAGTTTGATGATCATTTTGAGTCTTTGCTCATATGGCTTCCCAGAATGGCCAAGGCACCCTCCCAACTCTACACACATTCTGAATTTGTTTATTGTGTCCCTTGTTCATTCCAAGCCGAGTTCATTTCAGAGACAAGCTCTTGCACTAACTGCTCACTTGGCACAACTGAGTCTATGAATTCAACAAGAAAACAGAATTCAATTTTCATCACAATTACATCAGGTAGATGGCCTTCCAGAGTCTTTGAACAAGAGGTCTGAAATGGACTTAAATCACAGTTCTCCACAGTGTCTTAACACTAGAGCAAGCATGGTGTCTTTGTTCATTTAACTATAGGTACAAGTTCCACAAAGTATAGTACGAGATGAATAGGATTTGCACCAGATTCTCCATTGAGTTATGGGTATTAGTATGAAACTGATACGCATACACACCATTGTTGTAGTTACCAACCTTGAGATTTTTTTCTGGTTAGCCCAAAAATAATGCTCAAGTTTATGACTTTCTGCAAAACACAAAGTAGAACATTTAATTATCCATTCAGTTCACTGATGACCAGTTCTCCTTTACAATACTGGGTATGTGCTCCAACTTTGAAATAAACTTTGGCATGATGAAGGAAAATAAAAATACCCCGCATAAAGGTTTAAAAAAACATATATGTTGAAACTGACACTTGACACCCAAGTGGGAACCACCACCAAATAGCATTCACCGACATGTCACCTTCAGTTTTCTGATTACTGGATACACAAACAAATATACACTAAATACAAATTCCTCTCATAGTAAACACAGCAGCACCTTATAGAACCATTAGTATGTGTGAATATGGAGGGTGCACACAAAACCATTTCAGCTCACCAAACTCAAGCAAAGAGAACAAGAACTATTCATATATCTGCTACTGCCTGAAACTTCTTAACTATGTATAGCAATAATGGCACACCTTTATCAGAGGGTTGCTTTCTTTTTTTTTTAATGAGTGCATACAAGACTTCTTATGCTAATACAATAGGGTCATTCAGTTCAGTGCTGAAGTGCATTTCTAAAATTCTGAATTGGGCATTTCTTCAAGAGGGTGTAGCATTATTATTCTTCAAGAGGGTGTAGCATATTACCAATCATTGGCACAGACCCCAGTGGTTCAGATGTGTGAATACTCATTCAAGATTGACACTGGATCTGATACCTCTACATGGGCACGATGGACGTTCACAGGCACACTCTTCAGCAGGGCACATGAGGAAACACCAGATTTATCTTTTACTCTGGCGAATCATACTATAACAAATTGCTTTTTCTTTCGCAGGGCCACTTGAAGGCCTTGATCAAATCCATTTCCCACTCGAGTCACTTCACAACAAATCAAAGATACAGCATCTGTTTCTGCAAGAATATGCCACAGAAAAGTACAAAAGAATCACTATATTTTTTTGGTTTGGTTTTAGTAATAGTTTTGCAGCACTTGCAACACAAATAGGTAATAAAAGTGCTGAAGATAAGAAGTATTAAAAGAGATAACATACAAAGAAAAGAAGGACAGATATGGACGATAGATGTTTGACAGGAAAGAAGGAATAAACCACACCAGAGCACCCACAATTGACCCACAGAGAATCTCTTATTCTTTTATAATGCAATTTAAAATGTTCCCTCACCTTAACACACTACACTCACAGAGGCAAATAAGACCAAGAGTGTTTTTATTCTCGACAAGAAGTGAGCAAATGACTGGACGAGCATGAAAAGCAGAGGAGGGAAGTTAATGGCCAATAAATTAATACATGATGTTCCTGAGATGAGATCTGCTGTGCATATCAAATGCAATGCATGTCAAAATTTGCTCAGGGAATAATTTGCTCTCTCCTGTAAGCTGTGCTGAGAATTATATCATAACAAAAAGATTCGTTTTTAAGGACAATTGAAAAGAAGAAACCAACAAGCATAAGACACATATTTTAAAAAGTCTTAAAGGGTAATGTACAAATTAAAAACTTACCGTGACAAATGTAGCATAAATTCTTTATTAACCAGCCTTCCAGTTATTCATATAAAAAATTTCCTCATGACTATAATCAACATTCACAATTGGCGAGAGGTCATTATCGAGACAATATACACCAACACTATCATTCATCTCTCAAGTACTCTGTTTTCCCACTAGTACAGTAATTTTTTCCCCGTGGAGATATTAAAAAAGGTGATAGGTGATGCTACATCGTTACATTTGACCAGATTATGAAAAAAAAACACCCCAGGACTTGGGCAGACAATTATTGTCAGCTAAATGGAGAGTATGTACCATAGACTTGCAGTAAAAGCATTCTGACTGTTATGTCTTTCTGTCCTCTTACATTGACACATTCATCCAGAACATTTATAATTCATCCAATTCCTAAAACTAACTCTTCTCACTCCCTAGCTCTCCATCTGCAATTCTGTCAGCTGATTTCATTCTTCTGCTTGCACATTCACAAATATAAATAAAAGCAACAATTTTGAAACGCAATTTTTGAGAATCCTTTTTACCTTCTGCCAAATACATTCCATAAACAGATATTACATCCTCTGCACTGACGAAACTGCACATAAAAAGGAGCTAAAAAAAACCCCCATCTATTCTTTAATAATCAACAGCATGGACTCTGCCCCACCTATATTGGTAAAAGGGTTCATCAATAAAACAAGTACTTGGGGAGCCACATCTGAAGCAAAATCACTTCAATAAATTTTTTCGTTGTGAATGCTTTCCATGGCTCAATACCCCAGATATGAGTGTGGGAATAAACAGCTTCCTCATTCTTGACACTACCCATACTACATGGACTAAAAAATAGGAAGGCTTAAACAGTCATGTAAAAAGCAATGTTTAAAAACCTGCTCAGCTTTTCCCTTATCTACTCATAGCATATCTGACATTTCAAACAAAATTCTTGACCACAAAAATGAAAAAAATACAAGCTGAAAGTAGCGCTTTCTTTACTCTACAATCTTAGAGATCCTAAATATCCTCTGTTCAATTCAAATGAAGTTTTCTTTAAAAGTCAAACAATAAAATACGGTAAGGAAACAAATATAAGGAGATTGGAAACAGCATTCAAGCATTCTCTAAAATTGTATTTATTCACAAAAAAATTCATTCATATAATTAATCACATCTTTACAATATAAACAAGGAAACTCTATGACAAAATACACTCAAGTTGGCAAAGAAATGCTCACGCAGCAGGCACGTTATCTCCCTTCACACAAAGCTGACAACAAAACCGAAGCAGTCCAATGAAAGGTCAAGGGTGAGTTGATGATGGCCAGGTGAAGCGAATGAGGTGCTTGTGGATGAGTCTACAGGACTAGTTGCACTGTCATACTGGAGAACTGCGACCAGAGCTGGTTATACTGTCTGTGAACAGAAGAAACATAAACACTCTTCAAATTTGTACAATCCATGTCAAGTGTCAAGAGTGTTAGCTACGATGAGTCATTTCGTTGACAAAGAGTCAACTCAATAACTGCCACATTTTCCCCAGCTTTTGGTGGTGTTTTTTTATTGTTTATATTATAGTAGGAGTTGGTTTTTTTGGGGGGGTAAGTGTTTTATGGCGCTCGGAACTGCATAAGGCTGTCCTCAGAGAGAGTTGCATTTGAAAATAGCAAAAGTTGCAAGAAAAATTAGCAAAAGTTGCAAGACGTGTATAGCTAAAAAAAAGTCATGGAACTATTGAAATAACATTGTTGGTATGCTCATTGCAATCAAAGTAACCAACATGAGTATTGTTAGATCAAAATCAAAGGTTAAATTTGACTATCTACGAAAAAACCCAAAAAACAAACTACATGGAGGTTGCATGGTGTACAAAAACAGTTTGTCCCATGACACATGTGTCAGCACTGATGTCGGGCAAGTGTGACCATCGTGGTTTGGGGCTGTTCAAATATAATCTTACATCTTCTTTGGGACTTCTTGCCCCCCCCCCCCCCCCCCACACTTTTTTTACACTTTCCTCTCCTCCCCCCCCCCCCCCAAATCCCGTTATACTACATTATTCACTTATAATAATAATGACATTTATATTGCACAAATCCGTGTTACAGTCATTCTTCTAAGCGCTTTACTTTTACATAATACTATTATTAATAGTAGGCCTATTCATGAAAAACATACATAAAACACATGCTACATAATAATTAGGTACGGTACAAGCGGAACTTTTCCGGAAAAATTTACAGTGTCCTTTTACCACTTTAACCACAACGGTGTAATCAAAATTAGACTAGATCTACATGCCATGTAGCCTAGATAGCTAACAGTGTATAAAGAACGAGATGGCGTATTCGTGCTTGCCGCTTGAGGACCTACTGTATCGCCACAATGCCGTGCTTACCGCTCTAAGTGAATAAGTATAGAACAGTTACTCTTTTTTATGTTACTTAAAGAAAAATAATATCATATATGAGCCAATGCCAAAACGTGGGGAAAAACACATACATCTCACATTAGTGTGCATAAAATGTGATGCATTAGTATTTATTCCTCCAAAACTTAAACATATGTTAAATATAGGATGTAGAACCTGCATTAGCAGTTTCAGACCCAGTGTCAGCTTTACAATCTTGAGTTTGTAAATTTTTTGCCAAAAATGTTTGTTTTTTGTGATTCCTGGACTGTCATTTTAAGCACACCAACGCAAACTTCCAAGAATGTCCAAAATTTAGTATTTTTGGGTGTTTTTTTTTAACCTGTGCTTTGATTCTATGCTATTTGTGATCTAGAAAGGTTCACTTGCTCAAGAAATCGGTTTATTTGTATGCAAATAAACGAATAATTCGGATCACTTGTGCGTCAGTGGTGTCATCACGGACTAGGTGTTTCAGAAAACACCATTATTTTTCAGTAGAATCACCACAGCTGGTTAAATTTTTTTGCTTTTCGTCGTCTATTCAATAGTTCAAAAGCTGCGATGCGCGAAAGGAACATTGGGTTCCTAGATCTACGATTTCGGTCGGCTGTTTAACATTCGCCGTTATTGGCGTCACTTTGCGACGTACCGGAAGTCTGAATTTTAGCCTACTTTTGTTTTGAACGGATCACCAACAGTGCCCGGATATAATTGTTTTCTTGAGTGACTTCCCCATACCCGCTTCCCCAGAACAGCGGAAGCAACGGGGGAAAGAGAAAAACGAAAGTAGTCATTGCGGTCAGCCTCCGCTTACGCACAAGAATCTTGCGTTGAATGTGACGTACTGG